CCTTACACACATAGCCACGTGATCTGAGCAAGACTTTGAATACAACTCACTATAAAAAAAATCAAAGCCCTCTGTCAAGGCAGGGAAGTAATATTTCCCCTAAGTGGTCGACTGATTAATTAATTTTTATTGCCTACATTAAAAACACAGAATAGGTGGCTTCACAAACTGCCGTCTGAATGTTTCTCACGTACCGATTTCCATATGAACATCTGCCAGTGGGAAGTCAAGTTATAGTTCATGTTTCATGTTAATGCATCACACTGTTCGCAGTATACTATCAATACTGTGTATATGAACTGTATTTTGAAGCTGTTATGTTCACTCATAGTGAATGCTTTAGATGTTTTAAGCTTCCCTATTACCTACCTTAAGGCTTTCAGCATGCAACTGAAACAGAGAATGAAATCAAAACTTTGTAACTCGAGTTACACACGAGTTACAAATGACCTTGTAGTAAAAGGCAAGTTCAATTCAGAAAATTTCTAAGTTATAATAATTAAGGTCCCCGCTTGACAAGTCAACAGTGTTGTGCTCTCAATATCCAACAATGTACAAACATCCATCCATCCATTTTCAGTGACTGCTTATCCTATTTAGGGTTGCGGGGGGGGGGGTCCAGAGCCTATCCTAGAAGCTATGGCCGCAAGGCAGGGAACAACTCAGGATGGGGCACCAACCAACCTATTGCAGAGCAGATTCACACACCATTTATGTACAATCATAAGTGTAGAATACATAGAATCATTTTATTTTATTTTCTATTTTCCATAATTTCTTGTTGCTATCTCTTTCTGCTTGTACTATCTTGTATTTATTTGCAATAATATGAAGGATGCACTTAAATTGTACCATGTACACTTGAAGCATGCTCAGGCAAATTAACGAAAATCGAATACATCAACAGCGCCATCTGGTGTTCAACCTAATTTTTACAAATAACCATTAAGAAATATTTCTGGGCTGTTCAAAATGTTATTTGTGACATACATTAAGCATGGAATTTTCATTGGCTGACAAACAAAAACCAAGGGACTATACCTTTGCCACCATCTCCCTCATTAATGAGGAGATCTTCAAAGAACATCTCAGTTCTGCTGGACAGCGTGTTCATTATATCCCTTTTAATGGCCTGTCGGGTGAGAGATGGAGAATAAATGAACGTGGCAGAACCTGCAGCTCCAGGGAGCCATTAGTGATGGCCTACTGAAACTTAAACCATTTGCTGTATTTTTTGACCCCACTAGATGGTGCTCTCGCTTCATGAAAAGGCTCAAAGAATGTTCCAAACTAAACCATGAAGCTTCATTTGGCCATATCTAGGAGCCATCAGACACCATTGTCAGCTAACCTCAGCAGCCTGTCTGGCCTTCAGCTTGTGGCTGTGAAGGTAGGCTCTGCATTGCAGGACCCCTGCCAGAGTCAGGGAGCCGCCGCATGCCTCCGCGGCCGCACTGCTCCGCTGCTCCCCCAGGGCGGAGCTCATCTGTGGAGGACGACACAGACACCTGAGCGAGAGCAGCCACCAGAACCCAATACACATGCTCAGATGGGATCAACAGGCACCGAAACCAGGCCAAAACCATGCCGTAAAGAGAGACCTCTCCCAGATTATTTACATTAATTTATTTAACGGGTACCATTATAGAAAGCGATACACAATTGAGAAAGCAGGGTCATTCAGTTAGGGGTGTCGTTAAATATTTTGGGTCCAATAAAAGCATATCAAATCAGGCCCCCGACCCCGACCAATGCGATTATGTTCCTGATTTTTAAGAGCCGCTATCACTCAGGGGCCCTTGTAATATTCCTGACTTCTTTCCCTTTACAGCACCCGTCCATCCAGTTCCAGGAGGGGAAAGGGCCTTGCTCAAGGGCCTAATAGTAAAATCACTCTGCCAACCTCGGGATTTGAACCAGCAACCTTCCGATCAATGACACCTAACCCAAAGGGCCACACATGTTGATTAAAAACCCACAAATCCTTACCATAGGGAGCATAATCTGAACGCGAAAATTCGGATGGTGCCCCTTGGCATTCTTTCTCTAAAAAACAAATGTAAGTTTGTCTGGGGGTGGAGAAGAAAATCACTGAATTGAAGATTCATGATGCATGATGTGCCAGTTTGTGTAACTGTGGAGAACGCTCACCAGCCCCGTCAACAATTCAGCGTCACTATCCGAATGCTTTCCGTTAATGAGACAAACACTAGACTCCATTTGCTTTGCCCATTTTTGAAGGCCAATCTGTGAAAAGGGGTAAAATTTAAATAAAAAAAGTTACCATATCGACAAACCACCTCTCTCTGGTTACTTCCAATTTAAACCAAGTAGTGACTGGCTAATGGTGCACTATAATCCGACTAACTACGTAACGCTCAACCATACGACAGGAAGTACTGTACAAGAATGGGATTACCTTCACACTATTTTCCAGGTTTTCTGACGACGTTTCCGACAAGGGAAAATATAAATCCAAATCAACAGAGCATTTTAAGACCGGCCAGGAGTCAGACACACCAGACTGGTATTTCCAATCTGCAGGCCTAGCGGAACTCTGCAAGTGCAATTGAAAACACACAGGAATGCTCTGCTCAAGAAGACCTCATCACACAGCAAGGCTTAAGATACCAGCACAGATACATAAACTATATAAGACAGCTGGACTTCACTCTGACTCAAATATTCTGAAATTCTGTTTAAAGAGGCAGTAAATAGTTTTTCTTAGGAATGTTCACCAAGCAAAAACTATAATTTAGGGTGAAACAACCACAAAATTCATGATTAACACTAAAATTACAAAAACTTCACAACAATTAAATGTTGATAAAATTTTGATATTAACCTTGGGGTCCCGGACGTCAAATGTGCGACAAACAGCTCTGCATTGTCTCAGTTAAGATATACTACTCCAATTGATAATGTTATAAGTGCCAAGAGCTAGATACTTGCGACTAATTAACAATTCAAATTTAAATATACATTTACATCCATTTTCTAACTACTTATCCCAGACGGTCACTGGTAGCACACTGCCATTTCTACAAACAATTTAAATTATTTTGTGCAATGACCATATTACTACCAGAAGCTTGTCATACATACATACACTACAGAAAAACAGCTGTACATGTTACAACTGCCTGCTATGCAATGCAAAACGTGCCCTGTCTGTTACTGCCGGGTCGTTCCAGTGAAGGATACTTCTTTGTCTTTGAGCAGATGTGCAGCCCCACCCTCTCAGATACATCTTCTTCAGTGAGATTCCACAATCGTCCCATCGATATAAGCTTCTCCATAGCATAGACCAGCTGGAGACAGACACATAACAACACACATCGCAAAAACAATACATTTTATTAATCTACATGCACACCGAGCAGAGACCATATGACTGAATATTAATGGATATTTTAGTCAATGCTATACGTACCTTCCTCAGGGTATTCTGGGCCTCTTTTGACAGGTCAGGGGACGTGATCAGAAACACACCAAGAACAGACAAACCTCCTGGTAACATCCGTGAAACCTGTGGGGGGACAGCGTTACTATTAGTAATGCCCAAATGAAGCTTGATGAACCATTTGCTGTATCTTGGTTTGCTTTAGGCCACTTAAAATTAATAAATTGTTTTACATGACTGCCCGCCTCAATTTTTTGGTGCCGCCTCGATTTT